GGTAATTTGATTAAATTGTAAAACTATGATTTCCGCCAGTTCTCAAGGTCATCTCACCCGTGGTATTTGTTCAATCATAAAGACTATAGAGATTCAATTTAATGATGTAGATATTCAAATAATAAAATATGGACCCCTCATTATAGCCGGATGGATGTATTATCATGAAAAAGTGTATGAAAAAATGACACTGGTTAGCTTGATCAAAAGGAATATATCGTGAGATATTTTATCAGTAGTTGCAATCAATGCGTTATATTTACACACACTTGTATTGTACGTGATTTTCTAATTTCCTTTATCAAAAAATTATCTTGAAATAAAATAGTAAATCAGTGAGCCGAATTTTATTATGCATGAAATAATAAATAAACTTAAAGGTGATGATGAAATGCTAATGGATAATAGTGAAATTCTCAAGTTGAATATCTTTTAAAGTAATCGATGCTATGTAATACAATCTGAAGTATGATTCATAGTGTAGACTACTGTTATATACTGTTAGTAGTATTGCGTATATCTTGCTGCTTTTCAATGATTATTCGGTATAAACAAGCAAACTTCAAAATACTATCTGAGATAATTAATAATCATGACGATGGCTTAAATTGTGATAATTATGACTATACCGTTTTATCCAGCTAACTATTAAGTAACTGGTATATTGTAAAACAGATTTTCCTTTCCCATTGTATGGTTGTGAAACATAGGTGTTAAATGTAGGGGACAGAAGAACCATCTAGGTGTATGACTGTTAGTGAAAGTATCCCATTTTCAATTTCAAAGTTCAGTTTTTATGGGTTAACTGTTTGAAATCCCCTTTTCTAAGTGTCAAAAACTAGTCCGAACAATGTGAGACCGAAATTCGTGAAACTATCCATCTAAGCACATTTGTCTACAGAAATAAATGAGTTCTCAAAAATCCTAGATAGCTTCTCTCCAAACACCTTTCACTACTGTCTAAATCTAAAACCCACTAAGCTGGCTAAAGTTCAACTATGCACACAAGTGAACATAAACCCATTCACTTCAGGTATCATTCTCTTCCCCCCCCCACATCTATCAGCTGGTTACATCACTCAGGTAGGTGTAACCAGTTTAGTTTGTATGAAGAAGTTGTTCAGTTGAAAATAGACTTGGTCAAACTCTGTAATTGCGTATCTTAATTAATTATCAGTGCAAAATAATAATTTTTCCATTTAAATGTATACAGTGTAGGATATCCGATTACATATATATATATATATATATGTATTGCAAATTTCCTTTGGCATTTCTTAATAAATTAATTACCATGTGGTGTACAGTCGCTATCAAAAATTGTACAAAAATACGAGTAACAGCAACAGCTATAATAATGTGAAGACCGAAAGAGTTACTAAGTCCTTAGAAATGAAAGGAAATCAAAGTGCAGAGGATTTTGTCTTGAAAATAGCTTTCATATTAACCTTGTTTTCGTATCTTGAAATGTCAAATAATTTACGGAAAAGATAACAACGATAGTCTACGCTTATTTAATATTATGTCCAAGTTATGTTACTTTAGACTGATTGAGTAGTGTAAGTATTATTGCTAAATTCCTCTAACCTTTACTTCAGCTTTTCACCAAGTGTTTGCTTCATCGTGTTTTGAAAAGATTTCCGTTATAACATTGATATCCCAGTTTATAGCTAAAGAATCAATATAGTAGGAGGTACTCAATACCGTACCACAGTCACCCTGTTAAAAGTAGCATATATTATTGAGTTTATTGAATATCCTGATACTGATATACATAAGACTTAATCGATCAGTTTATATCGACATATGACAACGGGAAACACTGAATAATTCCAGTCAAAAAACTGGGACAGGTTAGAAAAGATGTAACTACTATAACTTAATAGTTTATGAAATAATGCTTTGACGTTCGGGGAGATGAATAATGAGTTCATGTGTAAGTGAGAACGCTGACACTCACTGGAATTGATATATATGCAGTTGGTGAGTCTTATACGGAAAGAAACGTGCATAATCGATTCCATCCATCATTAGCCACTAATGCAGTACATAACTAAGTGCCGACATTCTTGATAGTGTTTAAACTCTACACTTTACGAATCAGGATTACATCTCTAATTGAATAATAATGAACTATAAGGAACTGAGAACTGGGAGTGAGTAGTATCTGAGTGATCTGAACGAAATTGTCATTTCACGTGACTTCCACTGGCTAATAACAATTCTCAATGCTTTTGTCGACCCATCTCTATCCGCTCTGTTTCTGTTGTGGTTATCTGGATGGAATTTCTTTCTTTTTTCAATAAGCTGCCGATCACTGTTCAAAAGTTGGAGATTTAGATTTCACAGTATTCCCAGTTTGCACAAGTTTTTCCAAAAGTTCTAAATCCTGCTTTGAAGTGAGATAACAGCTTATGCATGTTCAGTGGGCACTAACAGAAGAAATACACTCATCATTATCTTATAAAAACTGCTATCCTCTTCATGCATGCATACGAATGCACTTATTGTTATTATTATTATTTGTCCTTTGGGTTCCTAATGGAACATAGGGCTTCTGTAGCACGTCTCCACTCCACTCTCTTCTCTGTAGTCTTCTTCCATAACCTGGCTCCACCACTGCCCACAACCCCTCATTTCTTCTTCACACAATCTCCTCTCCCCATGTCACCCTCACCTGGGACGTCCAACCCGTCGTTTCCCATCTGGGTTCCACTCAAGTGCCTGGTCCGGTGCGTGGTATCCCCAGTCGGCTATCTTAGTGTATGCCTGATCCAATCCATCTCCACTTCCTTCTGCATATTTGTTGGGCGATCGGTTCTTGCTTCGTTAGTTCGCCCCCAGATTTCTTTGTTGCTTATTCTTATCATTTTGGCCATCTGAGCTTTAGTAATGAGCGTAGGCGGTAGCTATTGATGAATATCTATAGTTTGCTGGATTTCCACACGGGCTGCAGGTTGATGGACGCCTGTCTTGCTGTCTTTCTAATGCTGGCTTTGACGTCCTCATCTATGTCTGTGCCACCTGTAGTTGAAACGATGCTGCCTAGATAGGTGAAAAAGGCTACTTGCTTTAAGTTTCTCTCGTTGATTGGTGCTTGTTGTTGTTGTTGTTGGTGGTGGTGTTGGTTGGGTATCCTCATCACCTCTGTCTTCTCTACGTTCACCTGAAGCCAGTCCTGTCTTCTCTGCCTCTTCTGTCAACTTGTTGAATTTTGCCTGTAGATCTTTGAGTTTGTGTTACAAGTCATTAGACACAAGTCATTGGTGAAATCCAAATCTTCTAGGCTTTTTTCATCGCTCCAGAGTATGCTCATCTTATACAAATGCATACACTTGTATGTATGTGCATAAATAAATTAGAAAAACAAAATTACATTGAAAAGTGAGTATAGCTGATAAATGATTTAAACAAAGTACGCTTTTCTGTCAATTATGGACGGTGACATCATTTTGAAAAGATTGCAAAATATTAACCAGCTGTGTGAAACATATGACAAATTTTGAATAAGCAGAAATAGATAAATTCACTTAAGACTTGAAAATGAGTTAAGTTCTGATCATATATAACTCTTATTTATCACTTTACCGGATTACAAGTTACATGATTGGTCACTTGGGCAGCCTTAGTGATTTCTACTGGCACACACATACCTAAGTACGAGCCATCGAGCTACATTCAGCCTTTATCATATCGACCTACACATTTTGGGCGATATATACAGCTGACTGACATAATGAGTTGTATAACACACACACACACACACACACACCAGTCAGTCTCTCCAGTTAACCAAATTGAGATCATGAGAACACTGAACGGATGTTTAGTTTGTTGATGACTGAACTGATTATCACTACTGAGAATTATTCAACTTGAAGAATCAAATTATTCCAAATGCATGATTCTTATCTGTGTCAACTTGTCTGTTTATGATCCTGATTTACACTATTCTAAAACTTTAAGCATGTTAGAGTTGAACGCGAAACAGCTAGCAGTTTAGAATACTCAATTTCAAGGATAATAACTGAGTTGATGATCACAGGATTTTTGTTAATTTCAAAGTCCTATTCACCACTGGAGACTTAGAAGCATTGGATAACTGTTTCATCCTAGTATGGGACTCCTCAGTGGGGTTCACCCATGACTCTGCGAGGAATCAAGCCTAAGACCGTTGGACTCCCGGTTACCATACTAATATGTGCTACTGGGTTGGATTCCAGACGTTCACATTTTGTTACCTCTGTCAATTTGCAACATAACGCGTTCATCATCCAGTGACACAGGTGAATGTTTCTCATTACACCATCAACTTCCAACCCACTGAAAGACCCGACAACACGGAGCTCAATTTCTTCCAGGGTCACGGATGCACACTGCTGAATAATCTCATACTAGGCTGAAAAGACTGTCCAGTGCCCCCTAGTTTTCAGTGGTTCTTCAAATGAAATCACTTCATAATGAATAATACCTTAAAATTCAGGAAGAATTACCTCACCAGATCATAATAAGTGGCTTTTTTTCATATTATGTTATTACTGAAGAATAACCAGTGAAATCATAATGAAATCATTTTAGTAAATGCATTCAAAACATCTCCTGCTGAGTTACCTGTTCAGTGTTCTGTCTACCGAAGTGTACAAACCTGGTCATTTTTTCAAGTTTTCTATCTTATTCCGGTCACTAGGTATACTGTTTGTATGTAAGATATACAGTGTTAATATAAGCCTTCATACTGGGAAAGTAAACAATCTTTTTCATCTAGTCTGAAAATAAATTGGTGGAAAGCATGAATTGTTTGGCTGTTAGACTACCTTTGATAACTTTGGTTACTAGACACTGATAATGGATTATCAAACCTCTATCCTCTGTCAACTGTTGTAATGTTTGCAGTCGATAATTAAGAGTTCTGTATTTATGTACAGATCGTTGACCTTGAATAAAAAAAGTAGCATTTTTTATCTATCATTTTTGTATTTTAAATCTTAATGTTAATGTAGACCAAAATGATGCCTTTTGGAAATTGGGTCAATTATTTCCACATCTTCCGATGTTATGTTCATTATGGCCTGGATCATTAACATCAATCAGTGGAACAAATACCAATGATCCATTATTACAGAAGCAGACAAGGCAAGCTATCGATTTTCTGGAAAAAAATCAGTCAATTTTCCCAATCATATCATTGGACAATAATAATCAAATGGAAATTGTCAATGATGTGAATTGTACAACATCAAGAAATCGAAGTAAAATGAACTCATCAAGTTTAGACAATAATAACACTACCACAAGCGGGGTTATAACATCTGGAGTTCTACAACAACTTCTACAGCTATTAATAAATCCTCCTTAAGAGTTTATCCTTCATCTTCTATTCCATGTTCATCTACACCCAATACAAAGCTGGATGATTGTGATGAAGCATCAGATAGCATGATGATTAAAAGTGGAAGTGAAAGAAACAGAAATTCTTCATCTGATGATACTGAAGAGAATGCAATTAAACCTGTTGATAACAATGGTAACCCATCAAATGATTTGACTAATAATAATAATAATGGTACAAATAGCTTGTCATGTTCAACACCTGAACCACAGCAAAACCCAATACATGTTAATGGTGCTGTGCATAATACCCTGAGAAAAACTCGGTCAGATATGAAAGTGATTCACAGATATTTAATTCAAGTGAAACATGATACTCGTGAAATTCACCAGATACCTAGTCATGAACTAGATCGATACATACAAGTAAGTTTAGAAGTTTGATCATCAATATTCTTTTGAGTATATAAAATGAAATATGCTAAACTTTATAGGTGTAAATTGTGCTTAATACAATGAAGTTTAGGAAGACCACTTCGATGTATCTGACTTACCAGATCCCATAGCTTTAAACACCACAACATTTATGCAGTCGGCTATATGGTAATGTTAATCACTCAAAATTTAGCGAAGAAAAAACTTGACATGACAACTTCAGCTTCTCTGTGGAACTTATCACCCAGCAGTATTCTTCACTGATCTGCTAGACTCCGGAAATACACCTAGTACAGATATTCTCCAGTGAATGGATTACATCATGTCGCATACCAGGTAGAGTTCAAAGTCCGTAAGCTGTACTTAGAGGATATGTATATATAATATATATGGCGGTTATCACTGACAAGACATCAACAAAACCCGATGCCTTCCAACATACCCATGGCAATGTGGAACTAGACTGTTTTGCAAAAGAATACACTTCGAGTAGTTATCAATGTAGTACAATGCAATACGGTTTAGTACTCAGTAATTCTTTATAACATAAATGTCTTTCTAGAGATTGTAAAGCAGGTTCCATTCACTGACAGACCACCAGTTTGCTCGTGATTTCAGATACGGTTTGCATGTGAGTCCTGGGAAACATTAAACCTGGGTTGGGCAGGGTTTCCAGTTGATTGACTTCCATCATCCAACACAATCATGTTTATCTCATTGATAAATATTATCAGACGCGAAATACAGATGAAATAGACTTTTTGCCTGTTACGTTCGACCGTCTAACATCAGCTGCATCCATTTACACTGTCTCAGTACAAAACAGTAAAACTCTAGACCTGTACTCCAACTTGTCGAATTCCACCAACAGAATAACATACTATTACTGTCTTAACATACCGTGTCTATTTTCCACCTACTGGCAACTTCAGATCATGCAAAGCTAATTAATGATGGATAGTGGCTAGGAGTGAAATCCAGGACACTCGTTTCGTCCTATTTAATGCGCATCAGCTGGATATACCTGCTTGCTGAATGAGGGCTATTATTATTATTATTATTAGTCCCTTGGGTTCCTAGTGGAACATAGGGCTTCAGTAGCACGCCTCCAGTGACCTCTGTTCTCCGAGATCTTTTGAACCTGGTTCCACGACAGCCCACAACCTCTCATTTCCTCCTCGCATGACCTCCTCCATGTCACCCTCGGACGTCCAACTCGTCGCTTCCCATGGGGATTCCATTCGAGGGCCTGACGCGTGATGTCCTCAGTCGGCCTTCTCAGTGCATGGCCAATCCATCTCCACTTCTTCCTGCATATTTGTTGCGTGATAGGTTCTTGGTTGGTTCGTTCCCAGAGTTCCTTGTTGCTTATTTTTTCTGGCCATCTGATCTTCAGCAGCGAGCGTAAGCAGTTGTTGATGAATGTCTGTAGTTTATTGGAAATCCCTTTCGTGACGCGCCAAGTCTCTGAGCCATACAAGAGCACTGACTTGACGTTGGTGTTGAAAATCCGTATCTTGTTCCACATGCTGAGTGCGGAAGATCCCCACACTGGTTTCAGGCTAATGAACGCCTGTCTTGCTTTTCCAATTCTGACTTTGACGTCCTCGTCCGTCCCGCCTGTAGTTGAAACAGTGCTTCCTAGATAAGTGAACGAGGTTACTTCCTTCAAGTTTCTCCCGTTGACAGTGATTGGAGTTTGTTGTTGTTGTTGATGTTGGTGGTGCGGTATCTTCATCACTTCTGTCTTCTCTATATTCACCTGAAGTCCCGTCTTAGCTGCCTCTTCTGTCAACTTGTTAGTTTTTGCCTGCAGATCTTCAAGTTTATGTGACATTAGGCATAAGTCATCGGCGAAATCCAAGTCTTCTAGGTTCTTTTCCGTCGTCCAGTGTATCCCCCTCTTCTCGCTGCCTACTGTTTGCTGCATGATCCAGTCCACCACAATTAGGAATATCATGGGGGATAGTAGGCAACCTTGTTTCACTCCTGTCTTCACTTCAAAGGCATCACTGAGCTTCCCATTGTGGATTACTTGGCATGTAGCATCTTCATATAGTTGTTGAATGAGGCGGATAAAGGTTTGCGGTACTCCGTAGTATTGAAGCAGTTTCCAAATTACTTCTCGGTCGACGCTGTCAAAGGCCTTCTCAAAGTCGATGAAGTTGAGGTATAGAGCTGATTGCCATTCTACGCTCTGTTCTATGATGATACGAAGCGTTGCAATTTGGTCAGCACATGATTTGTACTTCCTGAAGCCTGCCTGTTCCGGTCGCAGGGGGGGGGGCTAGTGTTCCCACTAAGATTCAAACCCGAAGCAGATCGCTTCAAACCGTTATCCAAAATGGGACGAGATGCGCGTCATGGATTTCACGGCTAGCCACTATTCAGTATTCATATAAAAATCAGAAATACAGGTAATATCGAGTCATCTGCACAACAGCTCAAATATCAATAGTCCTGGATTAATTCGCTCCATCACAAGTTCTAACATCAGAAAACTATTCTAGGCTATTCTACAAGTCATTCAATTTGTTGACCAAATAAACCGCGACCTTCAGGTTCCGTGGCCAGCACGTTACCATAGAATAGAAACAGGCAACGTGTTACAATCCACTCGTCCATATTTCCAACTTCTGTTAGCTCACGATACAGAGTAACCACCAACTGATGTCAGTCTACGATGAATAACAACTTAAAATATTTTCAAATCCCCACAACTCACTCAAAATCCAATTGAATTGGTGCTCATTGGTGACTAGCCTCTAGAGGTATTCCCGAAATTCCAATGAGAAGTCGTGAGCGGTGGGGACAAAGCCTGATGGTTGTGAGGACAGTTACTCAACAATGACATTCAGTGGTGGTTACACTATATCGTGAGCTAACAGAAGTTGGAAATATGGACGATTGGATTGTAACACAGTGGCTAGCTCAATGGTAACGTGGTGGCCATGGAACTTGAAGGTCGTGGGTTCCATCCCTGTTGGTATGGGGTCGTAGGTGTGCATTGCTGAGGAGTTCCATACTAGTGGGATGAAACAGCTGTCCAGTGCTCCCCAGTTTCCTTTGTTCCTCCAAGTGATGTCAGTCTACGATGAATAACAACTAGGACTATTTCCAAATCCCCACAACTCCCTCAAAATTCAATCGACTGAATAGCTGTTAGTTTTGTGATCATTATAATTTTTTTTAAAATATAAAGCTATCACTAAGAAATTGTTCATTTATTTGTAATTTATGATTAGATTTTAATATTAAAACAAAAAAAAATTAGTCGCATAAATTCAAACTTTTTCAATCATAGTAAAGTTTATTCACATTCGGACAGTAAATGATACCATTTAACAAATAAATGAATAAATGTTTCAATAAGCTTAGATAATGTTTATTTTAATGAATAATATAACAATTAGGTTGAGGTCATTTAGGCATTTATTTATTTGATAGTAATCAATTTAGTCACCATATTGTGACCGTTGTAACTATCAAGTCCTAAGTGTACAACACTGATTGTAGTCTATCGACCAACAGTTGACTGAGTAATACATCCTAGCTGTATTTTGATGTAGGATGTTAGAAGTTAGCCAACAGGAGATACTTTGGTCTTGGGTTTCATAATTATTGGCACCCAACAACTTTAAGGCAGGTTAGGTTCAGCAATGAGTATATCGAGTCTTTTGGAAGTCTATATTCTCTTAAAGACACAAAAATGTCTCAATCAGTGCTAGTTTTATAGACTTTATCATTAAGATGCTCAGATCATTTATGACCTAAATCGTAAGCTTTCTATCAGAGAGATGATTACTTAGAAGGAGGAGAAAATACGACAGTTGATGATGTTGACCAAACCTCTTCCTCTTTATTCTTAGTTGATATTATTCAAGAGTGGCTGAACTATGTTGAGAATGTTTATAGTTAGACTTCGAACCATAGTCTATGCTGACTTTAGTTAACAGTCTAAGGTTTAGAAACTGGAAGATTATTTCCAGCTGGATGAAATAACCTCAATCGACATGGGACCAAAGTGAAACACACCCATTTCAGTATTATTAATAGCTAATCAGTTTCCATCTCTGCTCAATTCAGCTCAAAGTAGATTGTGATTACGATGTCTAAAGGGAAAGTTAGCATAATAAACAGTAATCCAATGATCAAATATCTTTCAAACACACAAAAGCCTGTAACAAATTAGTCCTTTATTGCTTAGCAATAATTTGACATTATCATTCCTATATTATCTTAAGGATAATTATTTTTCTTTTGTTGAACAGGATTTTGTACTGACTGCAAAAAAGAAAGATGGACATGAATATGAACCGGAATCATTGAAAGCTTTTGTACATTCCTTGGAACGTCATTTAAAAGTAAGTTAGTAAATACTTTGATTGAATACCCTTCCAACTCATCCAAAAAAACAGCCATTCCATGATAACGATTTGATGTTCTCTGGTATATGATTATTTGTTGTGGATGTTTCATTACGAAGCGTGATGACATCATTGGTACTGAAACCATGAAGTGTCTATGACAATATATCACGGATTACAGAACAATAAGTTATCATCATTCACATTCTGAACTAAATATCTTATTCATCCTTTCACAATCAATTGATCATTATCAATAATTTTAGCAGTGAAAATGTATCTTCAAGAACAAGATATTCAGCGAACAGACTCTTTTCAACGAAATATATATATATATATATATATATATATATATATATGTATGATATTTGAATAATTATATCCCATGAGGAAAACTAAACACTATATGGTGGTGATGATGATGATGATAATAATGACAGAGGGGATGATGACATAGGCATTTGTGATTATGATAATAAAGTAGATTATGTAATATATGAAATGGTTCATAGAAAGTATATAACTCAGAAGGGGGTAAAGAATTGATAAAAGTGACAAATGAATTAAGTATTGTGTAATAGGATTAGACAAGTTGGTCAAGATGAAATCAGTGTTTTCTAAAAAGATTAGGACAATTAATTTCAAGTTGTTATTCATCGAAGACTGACATCAGTTGGAGGAACAAAGGAAACTTGGGGGCACTGGACAGCTGTTTCGTCCAACCAGTATGGGACTCCTCAGCAGTGCGCACCCACGACCCCACCAGCAGAGATCGAACCCGCGACCTTCAGGTTCCGCGACCAGCGCGTTACCATTGAGCCACTGGCTCGGCAGAATCCAATGCTCCACATTTCCAACTTCTGTTAGCTCACGATATAGTGTAACCACCATTCAATGTCATTGTTGAGTAACTGTCCTCACAACCATCAGGCTTTGACTCCACCGGTCTTCGATGAATAACAACTTGAAATATTTCCAAATCTCCACAACCCCCTCAAAATTTAATTGAACTAGTGCTCATTGGTGACTAGCTTCGAGAAGTATTCCCCAAGTTCCAATGACAAGTCGTGACCGGTGGAGTCAAAGCCTGATGGCCGTGAGGACAAATACTCAACGATGACATTAGGTGGCGGTTCGCGCTATATCGTGAGCTAACAGAAGTTGGAAATATGGAGCATTGGATTCTGCCGAGCCAGTGGCTCAATGGTAACGTGCTGGTCGCGGAACCTGAAGGTCGCGGGTTCGATCTCTGCTGGTGGGGTCGTGGGTGCGCACTGCTGAGGAGTCCCATACTGGTTGGACGAAACAGCTGTCCAGTGCTCCCAGGTTTCCTTTGTTCCTCCAACTGATGTCAGTCTTCGATGAATAACAACTTGAAATATTTCTAAATCTCCACAACCCCTCAAGATTTAATAGGACAATTAAGTGAAATAACACAGGTAATTATAATAACAGTAATAGTTATAAAGCAAGAATACAAAGGGGAGAAGCTAATGGGGTGGGAAAATGTTATGGCCATGATAAAAACAATGACTGTATACACTTCGTTTGTACACATAGATCAGGTTTTAGTTCATGAATAGCTAAAGCCTTCGCTGTTTTAAGAAGTTGAAAACGAAAAAAACGTGGCAGGTTTAGGCGAATTTGATAAATAATTTTAAAGTTATTGTCTGGGTTTGTTGAGTGGTGGAAATCAGTCAAATGTTTTAGAACCAAACTTCTAACAGACTTTCTTTCACCAAGCAGGAACATGTTCTCGTATACGTGTAGAAAGCATTCTCTGGCTACGACCAATGTACCTTCCTCGACAAGAGCAGAGGAACTAGTAGATGCACATAGAGGCGGCCAAACAAGCAAGTTTATCTTTAACACAAACGGAGAATAGGTTACGGCTGGTAAAAGTCAAGTGAAGTCTTGCTGCGAAGAAAGTTCTATTGATTGATCTGCAAAGACGATTCTTTAGTACATCCGACGCTAGGTCACCTTTAAATTTTAGACTCATGAATAATCTTTCCTTTGAGATCAAGTGAATGACTGGTTTAGTATTTCTTCCTAGCATATTTTTATCAATAAAACAACTGGGGTAACCATTTTCGACAAGTGTGCTTTTTAAAAAAGATAGCTCTTCATCGATACAACCGTCAATACAGATATTTCTTATTCGATTGTAAACAGAGTGAATAAGATTTATTTTTCTGTTGGTAGGCACCCAACTATAAAAACTTAGTTGGTTGTCCGTCCACGTTGGTTTTCTGTAGACGGATCCTTTGAGGTATCCATTCTTACGTCGGGTTAGAAGCACATCAAGAAAAGGAATAGTTGATTCTGATTCCTTCTCTATAGTAAACTTGAGGGCTTGATGACATTGACTGAATGAACGAAGAACACCTTCTAGATCAACATTTTTGTCACAGATGACAAACATGTCGTCCATATATCTTCTATAAAAGTCAGAGCTATTAATAGTTTCACAAAGTTGTGAATTCTGCAGTTTCAACATGAAAAAGTCTGCTAACAATGGTCCCAATGGTGACCCTATCACAATTCCATCTTTTTGTCTATAGATTTCATTATTGAAAGTAAATTAGACATTAGATGTGCACCTCAACAAAAGCTCTTTCAAGCAGCTAGTTAGTAGTCCTATGTCTAAATTATATGCATCAACCATTATATACATTGCGTAATCTACTTCATCATCATAATCACAAATGCCTATGTCATCATCCCCTCTGTCATTATTGTCATCATCATCATCATCATCACCACCATATAGTGTTTAGTTTTCCTCATGGGATATAATTATTCAAATATTATATATATATATATATATATATATTATTGAAAATGTACCTCTCCCTAATTTGAATAATTATTTTGATATGAAGTATGAAGCCTGATGGTTGTGAGGACAGTTACTCAACAATGACATTCAGTGGTGGTTACACTATATCGTGAGCTAACAGAAGTTGGAAATATGGACGAGTGGATTGTAACACAGTGGCTAGCTCAATGGTAACGTGCTGGACACAGAACCTGAAGGTCGCAGGTTCCATCCCTATTAGTGTGCACTGCTGAGGAGTTCCATACTAGTGGGACGAAACAGCTGTCCAGTGCTCCCCAGTTTCCTTTGTTCCTCCAACTGATGTCAATCTACGATGAATAACAATTTGAAGTGTTTTTGTTGATTGTTTTAGGCTTTAAGATGCTTTAAGTTTAGAAAAATGTTTTTATTTAAAAACTTATTTCAAGCATACATTTTCCAAACTATCTATTCATTTTCTACAAATTCTGTTTTCTATGCAAAATCTTGAACTAAGTTGACAGTGAAGTATTCATTGCTCGTCTAAACACATTAACACAAAACTTTTTGGCGAATACCATAGACTGGCAGAATTTGAAAGGAGTATACCATCAAATTGTTTGGTGTCCGAGGGTGATATGGAGGCGATCGTGTGAGGAAGAAATGAGAGCTTCTGGGCAGTCGTGGAGCCAGGTTCGAAAGACTACAGAGAACAGAGTACAATGGAGGCGTACTACTAAAACCCTATATTCCACTAGGAACCCAAGGGAAAAATAATAATAATAATACCATCAAATTCAAAATAGTTGGTCGGATAGTAACTTAGTCCCCGCAGTAGCTAACAATCTTAAACTTGAACCGATATGATTTCATAGATGTAAGCTGCTGATGAAAACTGCCTGGGAATCAATTAATTCTTAAACATGCCTTAGACTGAATGATCTTATCTTTGACTTCCTTAAACATGCAACTAAAAAGAGATTATCTTGATCGGAACACTCAGTTATTCGAAAATCTCTCTACATCATAGTCTGACATCAATTGGAGGATCATATAAATTTTGAGGGGGTCGTGGAGATTTAGAAACATTTCAAGTTGTTATTCATCGAAGACTGACATCAGTTGGAGGAACAAAGGAAACTTGGGAGCACTGGACAGCTGTTTCGTCCAACCAGTATGGGACTCCTCAGCAGTGCGCACCCACGACCCCACCAGCAGGGATCGAACCCGCGACCTTCAGGTTCCGCGACCAGCGCGTTACCATTGAGCCACTGGCTCGGCAGAATCCAATGCTCCATATTTCCAACTTCTGTTCCTCCAACTGATGTCAGTCTTCGATGAATAACAACTTGAAATATTTCCAAATCTCCACAACCCCCTCAAAAATTTAATTGGATCATATAAATGTTAAAACTGATGTATAACATCCTGATTTAAGGCAGTGAAAGTTCTATGTTGATCACTACTTATGGCTGGTGATACTCATCGGTGAATAGTCATAAATTTAGCTGAAACAGCTATTTAATATACTCTGATTTTTTCGTTAAATAACTTTTCTCCTTGGTGAAAGTATCGTTAAGCTGTTATTATTATTATTATTATTATTATTATTATTATTATTATTATTACTCATGTGTGTTTTCTAACTACATTTTCATTTCACTTTAAACTTTCTAAAATCAATTTCCACTTTCGTTGGGGTTTTTTAAAATATGCACATGGTTGGAAGTATAATAATGTCATCACATATCTTTGTGTTTGTTATTACGTTTCAATATCTGTATAGCAATGCTGAAATGAATGCATAGAAATTATTATTATTATTATTTCAACAAAGGTAACACTGGTAACAAAATACACTTCTCCTCTCCTTCATACATACAATGGTATTATTATTATTATTATTATTAATTATCATTACCAATGATTTAGCACAATCGAATATATTGTTATTTTACATATGTATACGGTTGTTATAGTATTTGCGCAACTTGTGTGCGTTCACATTCACTTCACCTTGCATAGACCTGTTAATACACAAGTGTATGATAGATGCGTTTATGGACACACATACAAACGAAAAAAGATACAATGAGATAACGTGTTTACCTGCCCTTCAGTACTCGTTCACTATAAATAAATGTGTTAGTCTGAATTTAGGTCAAAATAGATGATTTTATTTTCATAATTTATTATT